AACCCAACTGGGCTACAAAAAATGAGCCTCCTCTTTAGCACAGAGGCTCAGGGAAACAAGACAGCTGAGGGATGTGTATGTGCACATCTCAGCTCCCCAAGCGTGGCCTCGGTGCAAGCCACCAAACGCCTTTTCTTGAGGGACATTTCTCACTTTATAATAAAAGTCTTTGGGGAGGGGACCAGCTTCTGCTTTGTGCTTTGAACAGCCAGAGCAAGCGTGCAACACCAAAGTGATAACTACTAAAAACAAGCTGGAGTTGGGAACCTGCCTTTATGTGGACTGAAGCTTTCAATTTATCTACAAACCAAGAGCCCAGGGAAGTGCACAACCTCTTGCTCCCCAGTGCACCACCCTGTGTTCCACATCCATAAGACAGGGACCAGGCAGGGGTGGGACGCAAAGCCCCAGAGTCCCTGCAAAGAATCTCCAAAGTAAAACACACAATAAATCATCAGGCAGCTTTCACGGTCACGTTTCTCCATCAGCACCCATACTGAGCCCATCAAAGATGAGACATAAAGAAAATCTCTTAAATCAGACCGGATGCGATGATGAGGGAGGTTGAGGTACTCCCGGTGAGGAGGAGACATTCAGAACCCACTAGCTCTGACACAAGATGTATCACCTCAGGAGGAGGTTTTTAGTTGTGCTTCTGTTATGTCAAGAACATAAATCAGCCCTTAAATTATCTCTGAGGTGCTAAAGCTTCCACCGTGCCTCACTCATGGCTAACTGAAAGGTGATCCCAGGTACATACGCCACCGAGAACCTGGAGAAACCAAGTAACGCATGTAGTAACAAAGCCTACCCTGCTAAAATCCCTTCCTTATAACAGATCCTGACCTTACAGACTTGATTTTCTCAGCATCTAGAAGTGAGATGCATCCTTGATCTTGACACAAGTGTGCGGAGGTGCCTGCCAAAAGACCACAAGACTGGCTTTGGTTACAAGCAAGTCAAGGAGCAGGAGGTTCAGAAGTAATGACTGCATCCTTTCTACGTGAAAAGACATATCCTAGCTCCGAAATGTAAAATGAGAAAATATACAAAGGGCAGTAAAAACACAATCAGGAAAACGTGAAGCTCCTTATCTTATTCAGAGCAGTCAAGAACATCAGGAGCGAGTGACAGCGCGCAGAACATCCGCTGCAGGGAATGGAAGTAAAGAGATCAAGCAGGTTGGTCCCTCTGGGCTCAGCATTTAGGGTTTTGAGAGCCAAAGAGGCAGCAACTAGAGGCAGTGTGTTGTCCATTCGTCCAATTACATTTATCTGACTCTCACTTTCTACAAGTTCCTACAGCAACTGAGCACGGACATAGGCGACAGCATCTCCTGTCCTGTTGTACTTCATGGAGGAGAGCTTCTGAACTTGTTTATGGCACAACAGGAACGTCACCTCAAACCAGAGCCCAGGTTCAGTCCAGCTGCCTGCCTAGGAGGCTACGGTGCCTGCGCACACAGCCCCAAGAATTGCAGGAGAGATGGAAAGACACAGACAGGGCAAAATAATTTCCTCTTCTTCCTCCAGCGTTTGGTCCAGTTAATTATTGAGGGCTGCGACTTGAGGCAGGGACAAAGCATCTACAGCATGATACGCGGCAAGCACAGCATGACTTGTCCAAACTGATAAAAAATGAGCCCTTGTGATAAGAAATATTTCTTCCATGAGAGAAAACTACCTGTTTATAAAGCCAACTCCTTATCTGAAATTCTGTTTGCTTCTTAAAATCCTTCTGAATCCATTAAGAAAATTGCAATAATCACTTCTGATTTACAGACAGAATACAAAGATTAACGTTAACTCACTTTCTTTATAATTACCTTCCCACTCCTATTTTTTGTCTAGAGAATATTTCAAATTTTTTGAAGGGTGCTAGCAATATACTCAATTTTCAGGTGCTCTAGGCTTGAAATGTAGGAGATATTACTGCTAACATGCTTCTCTGAGTAGCTCCGCTGGTTTTGCTTGGATTAAGAAGCCAGCAGACAACTCCCACTTGGGGCTACAAAGAAAACCATACAATTAATGTAGAATCAAATAAAATTCATATTAATGAATCAGTGACTAATAGTGGTATAAATAAAGAATGCACCCAGTCACTGTGTAGATTGTTCAAGAGAGGAAAGTGTATTTTTAGTCGTATTCTAATCTTAGGGTATTCCTTAATGATTGAAGATTTTGTTATTATAACCTTTTAAAACACTGCTTCAGCTAAGTGGCATTTTGCTTCCCAGAACTAGGGGTTTAATCAGCTACATAAATGCAATCCTTAAAATTTTGCTTTAGTAAATAATGAATGAAAGCTGACTGTGAACATAATAATTTGATGTTAAAAATACCTACATATTAGATTGTGGGTATGAAAGAGTATGTTCCGATTACAGATGAAAGGGAGTTTCTTGTTAAAACAGAGTTTCAACAAAAAAAACCAACCCAGAATGCCAAAAACCTTTTGGCTAAAATAATATTTTCTATTCATAAACTCGGAGAAACTCTCTCCACGTTTCACTTTTCTTCTTGAAAAACACAACGAAGCATTTCAGCTCGGGGTAGGCATGCAGCAAGCAGAATGTTTTCTCTCTATTTGCTTTGATAAAACAATTCTTTTCCAGATGAACTCACCACTACTGCCTAAATTTGCTTCACCTGTGACCCCAGGAGTTGCCGCTTGGGTGCTTTAGCACCTTTTCTTCTTTCAGAGCCACATCTCCTCGTGGAGCTCTCTCAGGAGATGCTCTGGGCTCTCCCACCGAGAGGGTCCAAGGGTGAGTGTCACTGCAATGCCACGACCAAGGGCTGGTGCAGAAAATGCTGCCCAGTTGCTTCCAATATTATTCTTGAATTGGATTTTGGCTTTAAATATTAGAATTTTTGACACTGCAGATTCTCCAACAGAAAATATGTTCTTCCGTAATATTTCTCCTGCAACTCTAAACTTCAAATGTGGTCTAAGCCTAAC